CTACTGATTGAAATCTAAAGCGCTGCATCCTGGCATCTCTTGTGTTCAGTTTTAGCAGGACTGGCTGCTTTCCAATGAATGATTCTTCTTTCAACACTAAGTAAATGAATCCTGTGGAAACATACCTATGAAAAGGACATGGATGAGAAGCCTGGAGCATCCTTATGTGATTCAACATGTTTAGAAACAGTGTCCTGACGGCCTAGGCAGTTTGGACAGACCCCGGCAAACACCAGCATCCCCCTTCTTGAGTATCCCTGGCTTTAGACATGCTTGTGATGCTGGTTGTGCAGTTATTTCTTCTGCTGCTCAATCATTACCATACTCATCCCCTGAATTCTGTCACAGGCTACCTCTTTTCCTCTTTGTCTCACTCCAGTAAAGAGATACCTGATTCTCTTCAGTCTTACAATGTTGTAAATCAGAAATCAAGCATCCCAGAGACTTCATCCACTCCTCTGTGCTGCTTAGAGACCAGACTGTAGAGTGGCAATATTTCCTGTCTTAGGTCATGCCTTCTCTGCAGACACCACCAGACAGGAAGCTAATGATGGCTTTTGCCTGTGTCTGTATTTGTAACAGGAACAGTGCTGAGATTCTCACTAGTTGTTTCAAGCAACACATGCTAACAACCAACCATTTGATGGTACTAACCATTCAGTAATCCTACACAGGGACCCCAAGAACTATGTGTTAATCCAGACTGAGTAATTCAGTGTCACCTTAACTCTAGAGAGGTCCTGAGCATAGCAGGTGTCTACATGCTGAAGACATTACATTTACACAGGCATGAAGTCCAAACAGGCATTTTGAGAGTTGAGTCCTACTGCCCATGCACAAGGGCCTGGTGAGATCAGGCAATAGACAATAGCCCCAGGGCTCTCCTCTTCAGTGTTACCATCATCTCTAGATAGGCTTCAGACCTAAAGCATGAATTTTACTTTCAGAAGTGTTACCATTAATTGCAATTACTCTAGATACTCTTAGTAACCACATGGCTTTGCAATCCTTCATTAGATTTAAGTTTACTTCTTTGTCACGTTAATGTCCATAGCCTCATTATGTATCACACGGAAATGCATGTTCCAATATCCATAAGTTGTCTTCTCTTCCAATTTTCTTGAAGGTTTTCATGTTCTTGTATTAATGAGCTGGTGTTCCTAAAGTCTGGAGGGGACTTTGATGGGTGGAATAGTTTATTTGCAAACACTTCCATTGAATGCCAAGCCAAACTAGCAGCCTGCAGGCAAAAGACTTCACAGTCTGTTCTCTCTGAACCTCCTTAGCCAGCCAGTCCTATCTGCACTGACTTTTCAAATCTCCATCTTTACAGCATTTTTTTTCCCAGAACAGAGAAATAGAGAAACGCAGACAGAAACTGACAGGTAAGAAAAGATGTGCACACACTCTAACTGACAACCTAACAAGCAGTCCTTGAGACACACTGATTTCCAAATGAACTCAGTTTCATTTAAGAATGCTTTTCTATTTTATTTCAGCACAGCTAGTACCATCTTTGAGATCCTAAACTCCACAGTACTGCTAACTCCTTGTGACATGGGCAAACAGTTTATCCACTGATGTGAAGAGGCTTTTCACCCATGTCTTTTTCTGCTACTCTCCATGACTTGCTTTCAACTTGGAACCATATCAAATACCATGAAACATTTGTGAGAGCAGAGCTCACCTGAGTTTCTTTCTCTTGCAGAACACTGTCAGAGATCCAGGAATGCAGACAAATTTCTGCAAACACTGAGCATTAACTAAAACAGAAGCAAATACTCCAGCATCTATCTTTCTCATTTTCTCTTCAGAGCTTTCCCATTCAATCCAGGGTCGCAGAATTAGCTGACACAATGGTGCAGGATGTTCAATCAGTGAAACCTTTGAAAATGCCGATCAAGGCCCTGAAAGGCAATGCCATTACCAAGGGCAGAGTTCATCCCATCAGCTTTCTTGATGTTAAGCTCTCATTTTCAATGAAAGCAGTTGCCTTTTTCAACTGCCAGACCTGAGCAGGGCTTGCTTTTCATGCCTTCAAAACAGGAGCCTAGATTCTATGATCACCTGGTCATCAGACCCACTCTTTCTCATCTGCATCCCTGGCTTCTCTTGAGTAACATGCAAGTATCAGAACAGTTTCACAATAATGAGCTTTACTCCTTCCTACAGTCCTCAGCACATTTTTAAATGAATCAGCTTACCCAGAAGAGCCACAAACAAACATGAGGAGCTTAAGATATAAGCAATTCAGTAGCCTGAAGTATCATGCATGCTGGGCAATCATAAATTTAAAGTGAAAATCCCTACCGATTTTGTTTTGCGTTAGATATTAAATAAAACCTGCTTGCAAAGCCATATTAGTAAGAAACCTCTTTGGCTGTTGTATTTTTTACTTTTTTTTTTTTTTAAATTGAAACAGGATTAAAACATCTTTTGGAGGCTCGCTGTCATTCTATCTGGATAAATAAGCTTAAAGTGCCTAACAGTCAATTCATAATGAAGGTTTTTGTTCTTCGTACTGTGATGCAGCCTCGCAAATTTGCCCACAGCTGCAGCAGTTTCAGATGTTTTTGACAGGTAAATAAAACACTGTTTATATCTGTCATTGTTATTAATCTGCAGAGTAAAGAACTAGCAATTACATTTTCTTTCCAAGTGGATAAATTTTTATGATGATCTTGGCAGGGGTGGAATAGAATAATGTGCATCTATGACTTTTATAGTTGTGAGGGTCCAAACCATGAAGAGTCTTAGCTCAGCTGTTGAGCTGGAAAATGAATGGGAAATAAAGACTAAACCAGTAATAACCACCATAGTAAAAAGGAACAAGGAATTTGGGATTTAGCCCTGTTGGAGTTTTATTGACGTAAGGGCCAAATAAACCAAACTGCAGGTTTTGACATCAGCTGAACTGATTCAGCTCTCAGTTATTCTGAACCATACTTCTAGGAAGCTGTGTCAGGACCTAGACGTGCTTTAAAACCCCATGATTTGGGCCTCCATGAGGAGTTGTGCCTCCATAACGACTTACATTTCCCAACTGCTGCAGGAAAAAGGGTTTCAGATTCTCCCCAAGCCATGCTGGTGAAGAAAAAAATATTTATGGAATAAGGTGGTGCTCAAGGACAAGTGGCAGAATCCAGCTGTCAATGTCTTATTATACTGGTCAGAAACTGTGAGAAGCAAAAAAGAGAAATCCTGGTGAAATGCAATTAGACACCAGTCACGTCTGCTCAGCTTCTCACTCAGGTAGGCTGGCAGATGGTCAGCAAATAATCTCACTTTTACAATGCAACCTACACAGGTTTTCAGTGTGAGAATTAGCATCCAATTATTTTCAAGCACTAATGTTCTCCAAGGAAGCAAGTTGCCTCTATTTTAATTCTGCTTAGACTCTATTTGTTCAGACACGTAAGCCAATCTTGCAAGCACTATGTCTCGTGTATGCAGGCAGAATGGCAAGCCAAGGAAGAGTACTAGAAATGTGGAATAATGCAAATTCCGATGGAGTGAGTCGCATGGCTTCCAACTTTTAGAAGAGATGGGAAGGAGACAGTCACGTGAGGAAGGCATACAGCATCTTCAAAAAAGAATTATTTCCACCACCCCCCATCTGAAAGCCTGTGGTGAAAACCATGTCTCACAGCTATCAGTCAGCTGCATAAACCATTAGAGAAGGCTACAGTTCATTGAACACTGAGCTATGATCTATAGAACCCTTGGTATGACACATCCATCAGAGCTGTGGATATTCTGATGAGCTGGTGGCAGGCCCCTCTTCTCCCAAAGAAGAATGGAAGCCCATTCCCCACCTCCCAGCCCCCATCGCCAGCATCCTCAGACCAACACAAGCGAAGGCACAATCACTGCACTATAAACGTGAGCAGCCTTGGGACAGGCAGGATGTGTGCTAGAGCATAGCCACTCTCAGATTAGCACTGGCTTTCTTTCACAGACCACATAGGTCTATGAATGGGAAAGAAGACATGGGGCAAAACCTGTTTTGCTCAAGATTTCAATGTATCGCCTTACATGCTACGATCTGTGCCTAAAATGGAAATGGGTATCAGCCAAGTCAAACCTCACAACCCTTTCTCATGCAAGGATCCCTTATCACAGGTAACAAGGCTATCCTGAGAAATAAAGTTTATCGCATATCCGGGCTTGATCTCACAAGCAGAGGTCTGCAGCCTTCCTTTCCACCTGCAGCTATGTCACATTGGGTACAAATACTGCTGTGTATATCACTGTAAGGAAGTTGCCAGACTGAAAATACATGAACTGTTTTGAATTGTCATAAACAGGGAGAATAGCACCCCAGGGTGGCACCTTAGTTCTAGTAATGTTGCATTTGGTTCATTCTCCTGTGTGGTGGAGGGAAACTTCACTGGCCTAACCTCAGTTTGTACCAAGAAGCATCTCAAGGCTGCAGCTTCAGCAGGTCTAGATGCAACCAGCAGTCTTTTCTCCTCCAGCTAGTGCAACTGGGAACACAGGAGCAGAGGTAAACCTGAAGAGCTCTCACCAGCCATCCCCTGGGAACCACTGATGAAGTGGGGCTGCCTCCTGCCACGTGTTTATACAGACTGAAGTTGTATTTTTAAAAGCAAACAGCACATTAAATACATCTTTTGCATCACTTCTGCATTCATTGCAACTGGGTACCCAGGAGGTGACAAAAAGCCCCCTAGACAATATACACATGCAACATAAAGGAGTCCACAAGTCCATTCCATGCCAGGGCTGCACGGCTCTGAGGCCAGGCATGAGTGCCTGGGCCAAGGCTGCCAGGCAGCAGAGAGGGATGGAGCCAGCCTCCACCCCACATTTCCCTGGGAAACACCACCGAGGCACAAAATCCTGGAGTACAGGCCCTGGGCAGAGGCCAAGATGCCCTCTGGGTTTTGAGGTCCTGTTCCCTGAGAGCAGCAGGCCCCGGTTCCCGCAGGCCAGAGCATCGCTGCTCCTCCGCTATCCCCCGCCCCCAGCGGGCTCACCTGCTCGGGCCCTTGGAAGCAGATCCTGCAGAGTGGGGTGCGGATGCCGCTGTCGACGCTGCTGCCCAGCGAGTAGCGGTCCTCGGCCTTGCTCTTGCCGAAGTCATCCGAGGAGGTGCTGCTGGGCAAGGAGGCGGGCGGCTCCCCGGCGGGGCTGCCCCACTCCTCGGCGGCCGGGCTACCCGCTCCGCCGCCGCCGCCGCCCGCCGCCCGCCAGCCGAGCCCGCGCCCCACGAGCGGTGCGGCCCCCGCCGGGCCGCCCGCCGCCGCCTCTGCGCCGCCGAGCATGGGGAGCGGCGGCGGCGGGGAGGGCGGCGGCGGCGCGGGGGGTCTCCGCAGCAGGAAGACCTTCAGGTCATTGAAGAGCATGCGGCAGCGGCACTTGAGGAGGCCTTGGTTTCGCAACATCTGTCTTGGACGGAGGAGCCCGCAGCAGCAGTAACAGAAAATGACCGCGCCGGGTGGAATTAACATGTGCCTTTCCTTGGCAGGCGGGGACGGGGCGGGAAAGAACAGGACAGGAGCCGGGCGCCCCGCGGCCGGGGGGGGCTCCGCTGCGGTCTCAGTGCCGGCGGGGGGAGCGCTGGCCGGCGAGGAAACGACACAAGCAGGGGCCGAGGGCGAGGGGTGAATGCCCCGGCAGCCCGCGGTAGTCCGGCGAGGATGACAATGACAAAAATCCCCCAAAATAAACAAAATATCCCAAACCACCAGCCCCCCCCTCCCCCCCCCCGGCTCTGCGTTCCGGGAGGATCCTTTCCCCCCTCCACAAGTTTGTTTAGAAATCAGCGGGAGGAGGAAATGAATCTCCCACGCCCGCGGGTCCGGGGCGCGGGCGGCGGGCTCGGGAGAAAGCCCCCGATCTTCCCAACTCCTAAGCCTGTAAAAAAGAAAGGTCCACGTCTTCTCCGGTGGGTGTGGGGAGGAGGAAGAATATGGTTCTTTCAACAGTATTTGGCATCTCAAGTAATTTTTCCTTTTTCTTCTATTTTTTATATATATCTTTTTCTTTTTTTCTTTTCAATTAAAAAATAAAACCCGATCACACGAGACCCGGTGTGCACCCAGACAAAATAGCAGCTGGTCTGGCTATCAAAATGCAAAATTGGTAGCTGTTGTTATTATCAAAATTGCCCCTTTGAGAAAAAAAAAAAAAAGACCTTCACATTGTTTATGGGAAAACACCCTACGATTCCAACACTGTACTCCCAGGTGGCTTCAGATTTTACCGTTGCCTTTAAAAGATTTCATTGCAAATATTAAAAGTCCTGAAAGAAATGATTAGCATTCAATGAGCTTAATCCCAGACGTACTGAGATAAATATATGTATATATATAATATATATATCATATATATTTTATATATATTTATATATTCTGACCTTCTCTATTCCAGCAGCTGTATGGAACACACCAAAAAAAAAAAATCAGAGCAAAATTGGTGAGGGAAGGCGGCTGTATTATTCCCTAAACTGTTACCATTCTGGACCAAAAAAAAAAAATCCCGTCGAAATCGGATCTATTCTTCGCGTGTAATTGACCGGGGAAACGTGGATCTTACATGGTCACGTTTCCTTTCCTCCTTTCACAAAACAGGAACGTCATCAAACGCATTGGCAGCTTGTACAGACCATTGTGGATGGCGAGGCGGCCAGGGCTCTATCAGCAACTGCAGGGACCTCCTTTTGATGCATTGGACGAGGCTCCTTCTTTCTCTCCACCACCGTCCCCACCTTCATTTTCCTCCCCTTCTGTCCTCCTCCTCCTCTGACTGTTGTTCTCTCTCACAGGCATTGACATTCAACCATTGCAAGTCTGTCGCACTCTCGTTGGCGGAGGAAAAAAAAAATCAGAGCAGATAATTCTCTTCTTCCTCCTAAAAGGCTCGGATGGAGCACAATGCGCCAGACACACGGGGCAGCATGGCTTATTTTTCGTGCAGCTCCCACCGCTTTGGCAACACCGAGCTGATGTGTGCGTGTGTCTTTCTCCCTCAGCAGCAGCCTCCTCTCCGCTCTCCCATCCGGCTTGCCGTGATGATGTTGCTGTTGCTATCTCTCTCAGATGCAATGGGGAAGGCAGATTGTTTGCAGTGCAAGCGGGGATTTGCAGGAAGGGAGGGGTGTAACGTGGCTGCGCTCTCCTCCCTCCCCCGGCCTTAAGGAAAAAAATACAAAAAGGGGGAGAGGGGAAGCAGCACAAAGGCGAAAAAGGCGGAGTGAAAGGGGGAGAATCAAAGGGAGAAATGGGTCCCTTCCCAACCTTTGATGCTCCGGGCTGCCGGCAAGAGCCCACGCCGGCGAGGAAGGGAGGAGGGGCGAGGAAGGGGCTGGGCAGCCGTTGCGGCTTCAGCACCACGGACCGCGGACAGCTCCACCAGGCGCGGGCGGGGCGGGGCGCGGCGCCTCCGCGCTGCTCCGCGGGGCGCAGCCCCGGCCCCTCCGCCCCTCGCCGCCGGGGAGCCCTGCAGCCGGCCCTGCTGAGCGCGGCTGCTGCAGGAGCGGCCCCGCTGCCTCAGAGGAGACGGAAGGCAGCGAAACCTCTGCGCTCTGGCGCGTTTTCAAGCTGCTTTTCACCTCCCACCGGCCGCTGCAGGGACCTACGAGACAAGGAAACTTTCAGGGGCAGGTGGCAGCGACCGACTGTTCGGCGATTTCTCGGGTAGTGGTGTCTGCTTTAGATTCCCAGCAGGAAGCCGAAATCCCACTAACAAACTTTTTCCCTAGCAGATTAATTAGTTGCAGAGCATTACATGGTTTAATAGCTATGATAATTTTTTTTTTTCACTTCACTCCAGCAGCGTTTGCTTGCTGATGGACGTGTTTTGTTTCAGGAGCATATATTTCAGTAGAAATACGGGTTCCTTGCAGCCCAGTGAAGGGCAGATATGCCTGAACACTATCTCTTAATTAGAGATTTGCTGAAAGTAACCAGTGGCTGCTAAAGGGGATAGTTTTTACTCTATTCAGCCTATTTGATTAATTTTAAGTAGCAGCTGCTACTTAAGCCCATTAGCTTCTCTCTGCAAACATCACCAGAGGTGGGTTTCTCCACACTGTCCTGCTCTGTGTGTTCATGCAGCCCCATCCAGCCTTCAAAGGCATGGGGAAAGTCAGCTCTCCCCTGGGGCTTTGCCTTTGCCATCCCAGCTGGAAGAGCTAACAAAGGTGCTAGGTTTGATGTGGAACGAATTTATCAATGATACACATGATCCAAAGACTTCTAGTCTACGCAATCTGGCTAATGTCAGTGCAATGTTTCAGTTCAGGTGCAAGTGAACACCCACCAGATTTAATGACATAGAGCTGGGCCTGGGTCTGACATCGTGTCAACACCATTGAAATTTCAGGGTCCTCAATTTGCTTTCTCCATAGGGTTTCCTCACACTCCTGTTGCAGCAGGATAGAACATGTACAAATGCCCAGGCCGAGTTCTTTCTCTAGTTGGTCTTGTGTATGAGGTCTTCATTGGCAGTGATCAAGGAGCTACAGCTGATAGACAATCTGATGCCACCCAAAAATTGTGCTGGGGCCCAGAAAACCATTTGAAATTGTCTCTCTTAGAATAAGACATGACATGCATAAACCACTGTGCCATGATCAGCAGAGGAATCTATGTTGTTACCTAATTAAAAAGGGAGCAAAACTGATTATTTGCTACAGGAAAATGAAACCAGCACATGAAATTAATTTCCAGCAAATAAATTACACATTGGGATGCACTAAAGCTAAAATATTCATCGCGGCAGCCTGCTGTTTCTTAGAAGAGCTGGGCAGATCTGCCAATGTGGCTCTCTACAACACATCTAAGGATTCTCAGAATTTCATATGTGTCTAATGGGGTCATTAGAGAAATAATAATGTAAAGAGCATTCTAGGGGACTTCCTGAACATGAGACAGGCTGGCTAGAGGCTGAGTCTCTGTAGCCATGCTTCAGGAGGCCTTTACATCCCCCATGCTTTTTATTGCCCACATCTTCTTGATGTCGCCAACACTTTTATTGCCCACATCTTCTTGTCTTGATGTTGCCAACACTTTTAGAATGGTTCCGTCAATAATAGAATTGGAGAAAAATATACATTGTTGTCATTCTTTGCTTCTGTAAAGCATCTTTCATCCTTCCCTCTTGCCCATGACTGGTTTTACAGAAAGGATATTCTCAGGGTAGAGATGTTTGTAGTATATTCTGGTTTTTAATGTATGGGCTGTATGCCCAGGGAGTTGAATGGCTGATAAATGTGACAAAATAAATAAAACAAATAATAAATCGGAAGTGTTCCGTATGCTTCCCAGAGGTGAGTGGGTATTATTATTCCTCTTTAGGTAAATGGGACAGCAGCCAATGTTTTCACACTTGGATGCTGTATTCAAGTATTTCGGTATGGATCAAGGTGCCTTGCTTGAAATGCTCACACTGGAAAGAGCTGGCACAAGACACTTTTGTGAGATCCCAGTGAGAGCAGGGGGCTGTCAGGAGGCCAGTGCAGCTGGAAAGCAACGAGCAGCAAATAATGCTCAACACCTTGTCCTTCTGCAGAAAGGCCTATCTCTAGGAGTTTTGTATGCTGTGTCTCGAGCTCACTAATAGTCATGAGGTTAACACGGGGAGGAAACATACTGGGGGCACCAGCTCTGGCACACACTACCCCTGCTGTCCTCAGATACAAAGAGAGAAAAAAAAAGCACGGATACATCAGCTGAGAGTGCAGAACTGTTCCTCTTGATTGGCTACATCTGATCTACCAACTAGTAAATCAGAAGGGGAGAAGCCCAGGTATCTCAGCGCAGACCTGCATGCCCGACTGTTACAGATCCTGCATTGGGATGGATTCAGCTGCCAGGCCAGTTTCACAGCAGATATTCTAACTCGTCTTCCAGAACTCTAGAATTATTGTTTGTGTCCCTCCTCCTCACCTCTCTGTACAAGCCATCACTCAGTGTAGAGGATGTGGAAAAAGGAAGAAAGGGTGGCTATTGCTGCAGTGATTCTTGATCTGCCTATGTGGTCTTCTGACAAAAAATCATATCAGATTATTTTTTAATATTGTTGGGTCAGAGATTTTAAAAATGGTAGAGATAGTGAGAAGGCAAATGTAAGAAGGAAACCTCTGCATGGACTGCAGCTTGAACAGAACATTGTGCACAAGTATGTAAGAGACAGACAATATAAATGCTGATACAGACAGCCAGGATCATAGAGCCAGAAAGCTGCAAAGAAACATGTCTTTTTGTTTTCCACCTTTAAGGAAGTAAACAGTTACCTAAACCCATTTTTAAGCCCACCTACTCGGTCAATAGCCGCACTGTGCCTCCTGCTCCACTTACAGGTTCTTAATGGTGCAGAGAAGCTTTGATGGCTGTGGCATGGGCCTCATCCCTCTGACAAACCATTACTTTAAATCTAATCCACCGCTGGTTCCTACTGCTCTCTTAGTGATGGGGAGCTGCTCATCAGCTGAGTACCCTCTGATTGCTTGTCACAGCCAGACTTCCTGGTTCTTTTTCCCGGATGGAGATATTAAATAAATCTCAAGTGATGTAATTACCATAACTCAGTTGACAAAGCTTGTGGGCTGGAAGGAGCTCTGTCACATTTTCTTTGGTCTTTCTTTCTGGGCAGTTGCAAATATGCTGATGCAAAGCATGCTGCTGCTGGGAAGCCTGTGGGGTTTATGCATCCTCCAGGCATCCAGAAATAATCCATATATTGATTGCAATGATCATCTCAAAGGAGATCAGAAATAACTTCTGGAGTGCTGTGCCTTAGTATATCTGCTGCCTTGGGCTGGAACAAAAAGCATAATACTCTTCACACAGGGAGTCCCTGTGCTATTGCTTTCTCCCCAAGCAGGGACTGAACTTCCACTCACTATCATCCTGTAAGGATCATGGGCTGCCTCTTATTTGATACAGAGAAAATGTTTTATTTTTCTCCATAGCAGCTTGCTTTCTGCTAAGAGAAAAGAAGAAATTATTCTTTCTTGAAAAATCAGGCATGTCCTACAACAGGCACCCAAGCAGGGAAGTACAACTGCATTGACTTTGGTATAGTAAGAAATCCAGGTCTTTGCTTTATTGAGCTTTCTCTACAAGCAGTCTTGAGGCCAGTCAATGTGCAGAAGTATGTGAGACAGCTGATGCAATTGCTGATGAGGACAGCCCCCACCTTTCCTCCTTTAGGATCTGGATTTCAAATTCAAACTTGAAAAGCCACAGCACTTCTCTTCAGGACTAGACAACCCTAAACATAGAGCTTTCCTGGTAACAAGTCCTACACTAACTCCTACAAAAGGAATTCCTTGTCCCCTTGGGTGACTAGTCAGAATTCTGACTTGAATAGAGCAGGTGCAATAGATGGTGCATTTCAGGATATCTTCAAAAGGCACTGAGCCAAATGTTGAGTGGTTTTAAGTACCCAGGAATGCAGTAATCATCATGAAATACCAAACCTAAAAGGACCTGGAATTTAGACATTAAAAAAAGAGAAAGTATATAATCACAGGTCCCTTGGATATTTCTACTACTCTCCTGAGTCAAGTCAAATTTGTTTCAAGTCTCTAATTGCATTCTCAGATGTATGATATTTTAGCGACATGCAACAGTCCTGAACTAGCTCTCACTTGTCTGATGTGGGATTTAGAGAGAAAACAGTGTTGTTAAACAAGACTATTAGGGGCTGATCCTGAGAGATATGCCATGCTCCCTAAATCAAGGTGAACTGAGAGGATCTAGCACATCACCAGGCATTTGCTTAGTGACTAGCATTCATAATAAAACACAGAAACACTGAGGATATTCCCCTTAGGACCATCATGATTATACTGTGGCACAACGCTGCCATACTCAGCTTAAGAAAACAGAAGCATCTTTGTATGTCTGTCCTCAGGATGACCCATTCGTGACACAAAGGGGTCATGTGTGGTGACACTATGGCAGGATGTCCAGGAGATGAACCTTGTGAATTCTCTGCTTCAGTATACTAAACATCTTGAACATCTGAGACTTGCTTTCCCAAATTCTTACAAATCTGTATTTTAGGATTTAACATCTTAGGCTGCCCACATATCTTTCTCAGCTACAGCAGTTTTTTTCTGGATCAGCAGGAAAATATACAAATACTGCATGAATACAACGCAGGCAGTGAAGTCACTTATGAGCCAAATAATCTTATTAGTTTCTTCAGTAGTAGATGAGTTTCCATGTTGGCAGAGGCCAAGGTCCAGGTATGAGGAGAAGGTCATTTTAGGTGTCTCTGAAGTTACCCTCATTGAATATAGTGGGTCTCGAGAAGGGAGGGGACACTGGAAATCAGAGAAGGGCACATAGTAAAGA